CCCCCTGCCCCCGCGCTCCTCGCGGCTGCGGTTGCTGTGGAGGTAGTAGCGGGCTGCCGCCGCTACCGTCGTGACGTCACGGGTGCCTTGGGCGCTGCTGCGGTGGTTGTGGGGTGGTAGTAGCAGCATCCTGCAGTAAGTCTACTACTGCTTCCACAGCTAACGAGAGCTGCATCCGAGACGCCCTTGACGTCACTGCTGTAGTGGTGGCAGTCTGCTACTACATCCACAGCTACCGCAGCGTAGAATCAGGTCTATGAAATAATGTAAAAAGTTGGATAGTAATTGAATTCTTTATTTTATCAAATCACAGTACATCTTGCTCAATTAGCTGGCTTGTTTCTGGTGGTGACTTTGGGCGACTTTGGTGACCTGAAAAAGAATGGAAAAAATCTAAGTTAAATTCAAATTATCTCAGAGTTCAACTTAAGTGACGCCAACTCATCGAAGGAACTTTCTATGTTACAGGTGGTAAGCATCAAGTCCAGGCCCAGGCACATCCCTTTGGACAAGAACCAGCATCACTTCTTATTTTACTTCAACTGTACCATACAAACGAAATAAATAGCAACATTACTGTCAGAGATTCCTAATGATTTGCCTCCAGTTCCGCACTAAAATTAAAACACGACTATACATTTTAGGCTCAAATAATAACCCGTATATATGGAATGAGAATAAGCAGTAAAGAAATGACAAGTAACCCCCAAATAGAACCATTACCAAAATAAACTTTTACCAGACATGACAACCATACTGGTATTTTATGTTAACATCACATTGAAAGTCATAACTTACAAGATTCATTCCTGCGATCATGAAAAGAAGAAGCGATTCCTCCTGCTGTGTGCTGCAATGCCAACTCAGCATACAGCAGGTGACACATAGGCTGCTTTGCTGATGTCCAAGTCAGGTGCACCTCCAGGCCGATCTTCCTGCAACAAACCAAAGACGCAATTTTATAGTCAAAGAAACAGGATGCAAAAGAGGCAGGAAGCACGCAATTTCGACAGAGGAGGTCAAAGGCGACTCTCCTAGACCAATTCCAATCATTTCCAGCG